TGTCAACTCTCTGTTTTAGCTTTTGATCTCACTTTTGGTAAACAATATGTTATAATAATATGTTATAGTTAAGATTTAGTCGTCATTGAAAAAAAAAAAAAAACCAACCTCTCCAAACTGTTCGGAGAGATGTGCGGAGAGATTTTTTTATTTTTTTAACTGATATCATTACTTGATAAGTACATTTCCATTTTTATATATATAATTATGTTTAATTTATTTATATAAAATGCTTTAAAAATAATAATTATTAATAATTATTAAGCTAATAAAAAATACACTAAAAAAGAATACAAATCAAATTTCTCAAAAAATTAGTAGCAAAAAAGTAAACAAAAAGCATTTACCTTTTTTTAATTTCGTCTAATTTACTAATTTAATAATTTAACTGAAAAAAAAATTACACATGCTGTGTAGAGTCTCCACAAAAATCGCACAATTTCTGCGGAGTCTCTGCACAAATGAGAGAACTTCCTTTTTTCCCCTAAATTATGCAACTAATATTTGTTTACTTTGTTATTTTATTAGTTAAAAATATGCATTAAGTCTAATAAAAAAATATAACTACAAGAATAAGTTAAAAAAAAAAAAACTTGGAAACTCCGCACAAGTCGAGAGTAATGTGCGAACACTCCACACAGATTGTGCGGACGGAGTGTGGACACTCCACACTCATTGTGCGGACGAAGTGCAGACACTCTACACAGCCATACTCATTGTGCGGGCGAAGTGCAAACACTCCACACAATCTGTGTGGAGTGTGCAGAGACTCCGCACAATCTGTGCGGTTTGTGCGGAGTGTCCACAGTGATTGTGAAGCAATGATATATGTATTTTGATCATAATTTGGATTTTGATTGATTAAAGCATCATTATTGTTTTTGTTATCTCTTCAAATTCACGGTTTACGCAACAAGAACTTCCAGCATGCAAGCCTATTCTAACACCTAAATGGGTAAATATTATAAACTGTCTCTACACATTATTGGTGCCTTATTGTAATTCACCACATTATGGGGATTTATTTTAACTATGGATTTACTTCCTCTCATAAACTCTGTTCTGTGCAGGTGATTTCAGCTTTCTTACTTGTTGGCATCGTCTTTATTCCCATTGGCCTTGTCTCGCTATTTGATTCCCAAGATGTATGCTCAATATTTCCTAACCTATCGTTCTTTTGCTTTTTGTGCTTCCCTCACTAAAGTGGCTTCTTTTCATCAGGTTGTTGAGATTATCGATCGATATGAGATTGATTGCATTCCTTTAGATTCAAGAAATGATAAGGTTGGATTTATTCAAAGCCCTCAAGATAAAACCTGCCACAGAAATCTGACGGTGAGTTTCAATTCGATGGTATATGAGTTTTACCATGTCAATTGCATTTTAAATTTCAATATAGTTATAAAATCTAACTTTTGATAACTATTGATTAATCATCAGGTTCCAAAACGCATGAAACGACCTGTTTATGTATGTTATTAGCTTGACAATTTCTACCAGAATCGTCGAAGGTACTTTTAATGTTTCTATATTTTGACATTAAATTCGGTAAATGAAATATTTAACTGTTTTCTTGATGCAATATTTTGGATTTCTACCTCTGTGTGGATGAGTGTTAGTGATTCCTTGTTTTTATTATAGATATAGAACTCTTCTATAAGAGAAATGATTCCACTGACAATTTAATTTTATTCTCTCTTCTGGTATCCTGTAATAGTTGTCTATTTGAAATCTTTTGCACTTTGCTAGGAATTCTTCATAAATATATAATTTATTATTCCATTTTATTTTCAAACTATGTGGCTGATATCTATGCCCTTCCAAGATATGTGAAGAGCCGAAGTGATCTGCAACTGAGAAATCCAGGAGATGAAGGTGAAACAAGTGCTTGTGAGTTTGAAGACACTGCCCACGGGATTCCAATTGTGCCTTGTGGTCTTATAGCTTGGAGCCTGTTCAATGATACTTACAACTTCACACTCAATAACCTACTGGTGACCATAAACAAGACGGGTATCTCGTGGAAGAGTGATAAAGATCACAAAAATATGCATTAAATTTAATAAAAAAAATATAATGGCAAGAATAAGTATAACTTCAAAAAAAATCTCAAAGAAATAATCATTGCTAACAACATAAGAATGTAAAAAAAAAAAATGAAAAAGACAAACGAAAAAAGTAAAACTTGTGAAAGAAAAAAATGAAAGCATGATGCCAAAAAATTTGGCATTATTGTTCGAATGGGAAATACTTTATTGATACACAAAAAACTTTTACAGTCACCAGGTTAAAAGTTTGGATTTATTGTGTTGTAAATTTTTTTTTTTAAATAATCGTAATAAATCTTTTTATTACGCTAATAAAATTACAATAATTTTTTTTTCAAATGGCATAAAAAATCATTTTTATCTTCAACAAAAAAACACATTTAAAAATTAGCAATTTCATAATCACTGTTTTTTTTAATTCCCGAAAACACAATTATAAAAAACAAAAAACAATATTGAATTACAAAAATCAATATCTGCCAAATATGGTATCTAAAAACAATATGTGTAAATACGGTATGATGCAAATACGGTATGTTATATATATGGTATGATACAAATACAGTATGCTGTAAATACGGTATAATACAAATGCAGTATACTGTAAATACGGTATGATGCAAATACGATATGCTGTAAATAAAGTGTGTTACATATATAATATGATGCAAATGCAGTATACTGTAAATACGGTATGATGCAATACGATATGTTGCATATACGGTAAGATGCAAATACAGTATACGTAAATACGGAATGTTGTATATACAGTATGTAAAGTACATATATGATATGAATGAATCTGGTTTCGTCTACTACAATAAATTTCAATACCGTATATGCTATCTACCGTATATGCAGTCTACCGTATGTGCAGGCAACTTACCGTATATGCTACCTATCGTATGTGCAGCTTATCGTATATATCGATTTTTGCACTTACAAATACCGAGAATGCAGAACACCATACATTTACTTACCAAACCAAAATAAAATTAAAATTAAAATATATGAATGACAAAATATAAAACGCATATGAATATACAAATTGATTTATAATTTTGTGTTCAATCTTCAATTTTTCAATATTGAATTACATAAAATTTAGAAATATAATCTTCACATTCAACCCAATCATATCAACACTATCAAAGAATACAGGCAAAATAGTTTGTATAACCTCATATATTTCTTATTCAAGTATGAAATATACAAGCATATTTTTTCTAGATAACACAATACTGTTGCAATTGTAAAAATAATTTGCAATCATTTTCTTATATCATGAAAATATTTCTAGATATTACTTCAAAAACATTCCAAAAAACTAAAATTCATACACTAATAAAAATACAATAAATATAAAATTCGTGCAAAGCACGTGACAACGACTAGTATTAATAGAAGTTTGATGGTTTGAAGTTCTCAAATCCCACCTTTGGTTGAAAAGAATTTGAGTTGAGGAGTCTAGACTGGCACTAACTATTTTTAAGACTCAAATCTCATATCAAAAGAGAGTTTGATACATCTTATATTTCTTTTCATAACCTTTACAACCCAAGTGATTAAATCTACTAGGGTATCTAAAACTTGGTGCCCTATAATCATCTAACTTAATAGTCACCGATGCAAAGCTCGCTCCAAAAATCACAGGGCAAGAGCCCCTATTTGTTTTGGATTAAAATAAAATTTCAATTCAAAGTCAACATTTAAATTTAACCATATATTCATGGGATATACAACTTTTCAACCGCACATTTCAAAAACTTCTATCAAAACTCTAATTTTAATCTCCATCAAACAACCTCTAGAGTTCTAGAAATTGGCGATGACACTTTGGGAAATCCTCATCTTTCATCTAGATATACAAGTATCTAATTCTTAACAATTGGTGTGGAAAAATGCATTAATAATGGAGAGAAAATTATAAGGAGTGATCTTGCACGAAAGGTATGAGAAAAAATTGACCATAAGAGGAGCAGGATTGTGAATGAAATCAACACAATATTGACTGTGTTCTAGTATGGGTGTGAGTTTAATGTTGGCTAACCACACACATTGACTAGGTGAGGAATTTACTGATTGTAATTTTGTAGTCAACACATACTTCAAATTTGTAAGAAAAGTCATAGTTTGTGTACTGGTACCGGTTCTTTTTCTTTTTCTCAAAAATTAGCCAGCATAATACATGAATCTATGTAGAACCTCAATTGTACTTCATGGTTCGTTATTGATTGATTATTTTGAAGTTTTATGCTTGAAGTAGTTTACGTTTTGTGCATCAACCTTTACAAGATTTAGTTCTTAGGGCAGAATTCCAGTAAAGCCGACTGCTTTTTAAACGGGTAATTAGAAACTTTTAATTGAATATATGAACTACCTTCGCAAAATTTCCTAGCCATTATGCCTGGTTAACGAGAAAATTGGCACTAACTATGGTTCATTTGTACACAACGTTTTATTCATGTACAATTTTAACTCCATTTACGTTGATTGGAATCGATCCCAAACGACATGCCAAGTGACTATAATTTTAGTCCAATTAGAGCATCTCAATGCATTTAGTAGATTTTACACGAGGACATGAAAGATAAATTGTTTACATGCTATCTATTGAATATTGAACCCATTCTCGTTGGACTTTCATGTATTCTTGCCACCAGATACAAGGGATTGGATCTTGAAGTTATTGACGTGCACAAGAAGGCTGCAAGTCGGGACTTCTTTAGTTTGTCTTCAATTTCAAGCCGAGGAAGAAAGGGATCGGCGAGTAACTTGGAAAAATACGGTTCGACGAAATTAGTTTATATAGCATTATGTTATTGATTCAATTAAAAGTTAGATTATGTGATTCATTTAATTGAATTTGTTATTTAACGACATTTAGTGTCATCTAGACTAATGTAACATAAGTGGTGTTAAATATCATTACTCTTTTACAAAGGCCGAGAATTTGATGGGTCAAATTGCAAACCAATCTAGCAAGTCGTCGGGCCTGATTAGATATAAAGTTTAAGTTTCTAGTCGAACCAACAATCCGAGAATAATAACATCAAACAGCCCTTCATCAACCTTATTGTAACATATTTTGGTCTTTCGACAGAGACCATTTCTTTCCCAACATACCAACTCCCAAAAACTCCCCCAAGAAAACTACAATGTAACATGAAAACACAATTTTGAAAAAGAAAGATTCACGGTGACAGAACGTATCCTGGAAATCAGTGTCTGCTTTCCACTTAATACCTGTAACGAGGGGGCTTGTAAGGACCCTCGACTGGTACGCTAATGTAATCAGCCTGGTCCTTTGAAAGCTCAGTGAGCTTAGCACCAAGCTTCCCAAGATGAAGAGCAGCAACTTTCTCATCAAGGTGCTTGGGCAAAACGTAAACCTTCTTCTCGTACTTGCCAGTTTTCCTCTCATTCCAGAGCTCAAGTTGTGCAATAACTTGGTTGGTAAAAGAGCAAGACATCACAAAGCTAGGGTGACCGGTGGCACATCCCAAGTTCATGAGACGACCTTCTGCCAAGACAATAATACCGGATTTTGTTTCAGGGAATACCCATCTATCTGTTTGTGGCTTAATGGTGATTCTCTTAACCCCAGGGTAGGTCTCGAGACCGTGCATGTCAATTTCATTGTCAAAGTGACCGATGTTGCAAACAATGGCATTGTTTTTCATCTTTTTCATGTGGTCAACCATGATGATGTCTTTGTTACCAGTGGTGGTGACAAAGATATCAGCTTCAGAGACAACATCTTCGAGCGTTAGAACCTGGAGACCTTCCATGAGAGCCTGGAGAGCACAAATGGGGTCAATCTCGGTCACAATCACACGAGCACCTGCTTGCTTCAAGGCAGCAGCACAGCCCTTGCCAACGTCTCCATAACCAGCGACAACAGCAACCTTTCCGGCAATCATCACATCAGTGGCCCTCATCAGTCCATCGGGTAGAGAGTGGCGGCATCCATACAAGTTATCAAACTGGTAGAACCAAAAAGTTCAGACATCACTGTCAGTGCATAATCTAGTAAAGAAATGCAGTAACATGAAATTAAACTGGAAGAACAATTACATGATATTTCAAACATAGGAAGACCAGCATTCAATAGGATCAGACTAGCTAATATTGCAACATGTCCACAATCGACTTTCAAACAGACTGAGATCAGAACTTCTATATCTGGGTTATGCAATATTTAAAAGCACTATCATATGTTTCTAAGAATAATCACAAAGCAATACAACTTATGTAATATTCACAAAGCCAAATGCAGAAGATTCTAAGAATACGTTTCTAAGCTCCATTCTTGAAATAACTCACCGGCACGAAATAAATAGCACTTATATCCAAATATTCAGCGCAAGCAATTATTTCAACCGGCAAATGAAATGATTTATTTCCTTATAGAGCATATTTGGCTAGACTTAGAAGTAATCAAACGTATTTATCAGTTACTCTTTTAGTTAAACATTATTTTCAAATCGTAAAACTTGCTTTCCTCACTATCAAGTAAAGTAACTTCTAAGCACGTCCAAAGAATCACCATAACTCAACCTAGAAGATACTAAAGAATATGTTTCTAAGCTCCAATCTAGGAATGACTGACACAAAATAAATAGCACTTTTCTCCAAGTACACAATACAAGCAATCATTTCAAATAATTGACACTACAGATAGACTAAAAGTAATCAAACTACCAGTTGCTCTTTTGTTAAAAATGATTTTCAAAGTTACAAAATTTGCTTTCATTACCATCAAGAAAAGTAACTTTTAAGCACGACTCACATCCAAAGAATCACTTGCTCAATTAAGAATCAAGAATGTCACAATAAATAACAATAATATATCAGATCCAGCAAAAAAAATTCCTGATCAGATAAAAAATTTCAAGACAGGGTATAGCAAAATTAAGCTAGATCCGAGGGAACCCCTAAAACACAGACACTACAATTAATTCAGCTATGAACCCAAAGAATTATAGAATCATATAAAATTGAAAATAAGTTCAGATCTAATCCATTAAAAAGATATATCATAGTATGACTGTATAAATATACCTTGCTCTTGGTGACAGAGTCATTGACATTAATAGCAGGGAAAAGCAGTGTTCCATTAGCCTGCATCTGGTAAAGCCTCTTCACTCCAGTGGTAGTTTCCTCAGAGACACCAACAAGTCTCTTCTTCATTCTGGTGTACTTCTTCGGATCCGACTTCAGTCCATCTCGGATAATCGTAAGCACGATCTGGAACTCCGCATTGTCAGTCGAATTTGGGTCGGGCACCTTCCCAGTTTTTTCATACTCCTCCTCAGCCTTGACCCCTTCATGGATCAAGAGAGTTGCATCTCCTCCATCATCAACAATCAGATCAGGCCCTCCACCTGGGCCCCAATCAAGTGCCCTTTCAGTGCACCACCAGTACTCCTGGAGGGTCTCCCCCTTCCAGGCAAACACGGCGGCGCTGTCACGAGCAATGGCGGCGGCGGCGTGGTCCTGAGTGGAAAAAATGTTGCAAGAACACCATCTCACCTCGGCACCCAAGGCAGTCAAAGTTTCGATCAAAACAGCGGTTTGAATGGTCATGTGAAGGCTGCCAGTGATCTTAGCTCCCTTGAAGGGCTGTGAGGGGCCAAATTCGGTACGGCAAGACATGAGCCCAGGCATTTCGACCTCGGCTAGCTCGATCTCGAGGCGGCCGAAATCAGCTTGGGACATGTCCTTGACCTTGTACTCGCGGCCAGAGGTGGTTTTCTCTACAAAAAGTGCCATTGATTCTCTTCTTTTGCGGTTTTAGCAAGAAGAGAGCTTAAAGAGTGGGCAAGTGTATATGGGTCTGATGGGGCATATAAATAGTGTTGAAATGGTAAAATGGACGGTTGAGATTTTGAGGGTTTGGTGGATCTGCGATTTGGTAAAGATGGAGTGGGTGGGGAGGCGGCGGAAGTCGTAGACCACCCACTCTATGATGGGGGAGATGTGGCAACCCAAAACCGTGATTATTAACTGTTACATAGTTTGAGGCAAGGTTGGTCGACATTTTCAGCAGACAGAAGGTATCCGTATACACGAGATATGATATAAAATTACAGTAAAAAGCGATGAGTAAAAGAAAATCAAAACTTGTACTGACGATCAAATGGCAAAATAGGATTGCACTGTTTTTTTTCCTTTTTTTTTTTTCATCTTTCAATAATGTTGAACTATGCGTTATTTATAAAATTTTTCTATCAAAAAATTATGTATTTGTAGTATCATTCAGAAAATTAAAATTTTTGAATTTCAAATTACTCAAATGATGACATATTGTGGAGATGAACAAATGAATTCTACGTCTAAGCAATCATTGTTTTTATTGTTCAAGATTTGAAATATTTTAATTAATTGAAGATCATACCATATGTGTATACAAAACGTCCAAAAATATTTTATACATGTATCAATTTGCCTGGTCTGTCTATTATTTTTCTAGCGATGAGATATCTTTTTGTTTGTAGCGCTATAATCACTTATCAATGTGGTCATTACTTTCAAGCATAGTTATTAGAACTAGTCAGTTCAATCCGTCGAAAAGCAGTCCAATTCAAGTACATTAATTATTCAAATCAGTGAAGCAACCTATTAGACCACTCAATACCCGCCTGGTTCAACGTGTTTAAAAGGAACCGAAACTTATTCAAATCAGTAAAGGAACTGATCAATAACCATCCGGTTCAGTGGGTTTGAGAGGAATCGAAACAGGATCAAATGTGGACTGATCAATAACCATCCGGTTCAATAATTTTTTTTTTTTTTAACAAAAGATGATCTTTTGAGAGTTTAATTTCAATTGATTTATTCAATGAATGTTAAAAGTTAAATGTGATATCATCCATATCTATAATAAATAATTTCAATTGATATATTTATTGAATATTGAGTGAACATATAGAAAGGGTGGTACTCGTTGGGTGTTAATTTCAAATCACAAGGGTAAACGGGGGGATTATTCTAATCGACTTCCACGACTATTTAAATTATTTTCACAAATTGGTTTATAGTTCATTTGAATCATCAAATATTTTGTTTTATTTATCACACATCAACGTATAGGTTTTAGCCAAATCAAGGTTGCTAGGAATTGCAAAAAAAACCCGTCAAACCTGATATCCGT